AACTTGTCTTGCATTGATACATCAGATTTCCATAAACCAGGAATTGATCACAGCTGGCTTCTTGCCCGCTGTGCTTGCGATATATCAAAAATTTTCAGCCAAGCTGTAAGTTATAATTCTTGAAATCGAAGACTGGTTCCACAAATGGAAAATTTCTATCGATAACAACAAGTCGAATCAACAAGTATCTTGACAGTTCGAAAACTCAAGCCTGTACATTATGTTTTGTTGCCCAGGTTCGAATTCCGTCCCTTCATAGGAGGCAGCGGTGGTTACCTATTAGGTGCTTCCATAATGAAACGGCCAGCACTTCCGCACTTGTAGTGGCGAAGGCTAATGGCTATTTAATAAAGCGTCTGGCCATTTAAAAAACATATATTAATATTTTAAAATATATATAGATATATCGGATAACCGTTATCTGCTTAGCGAGAAGTCCCAAGAAAAATATCTAGTATTAAGTATTTGGGGATTATTTCAATCTCGAATGAGACTCTCACGTGAGGCAAACTTACGCTTGCAGTTGGTTTTAGATCCAACTGGCCCACAGGTTTTAGATCCTCTGATGCCTGGGTGGCTGCTGCTTATGCTGACATTGAAAGAGTCCAGACCATCAGGAACAATGTCCTTTGGATAATTAACTAATGTTTGCATGTATATGAAGAATTCTACGCTACGCAGAGATTTAAAAATGTCTGTGACTTGCAGAAAACCAGTAAAAACTTCTTTACCTGGATTAAGTTGTTCTATTAAGAATTATTCCACGATCATTAATTACAAGCTATAATCGCTACTTGACTGTATATTCGTAATTTTGTATCCTTCAGATTTAGCAATCTAGCCCCCGTCATATTTCCTTCTAAGGTAGGCAGATCCAAAAGTTTCCGGCAGCGACTTTCAAATGCGCTACCGTAGAAATCGTATACTTTCTTTCTTGATCGTTTATTGAGTGCATTGATGTGCTAATTAGTACTGAAATATTTAAAGTTGAATATCTTCCTGTGATTAGATTTTTGACTGGAAAAGGTCTTAAATGCCAAAAAAAATAAATAAATAAATAAATAAATAAATAAAAATAAATAAAAATTAAATTAGACAGTATCTGTATAGTGATTCTGTAATGAACAAATGAGGAAAGCAATTTTCCGAGGGCCGAGAATATGTAGAAGTTTATTTTTTTGTGTAGGTTTTCCTTCGGAGACATTTACACCAGAAAATACTTGCATCCAGGAAGAAATGTTGAATGACGAGAGATTAGAGCAGGGTTATATCTATCGAAAACCGACTGTTTTGCGCCTTCTACATCAACGTCTTGACGTGAAAAAAAGTCTCTGCAAGATGGGTACCCTGATTTCTTTCAGTAATTTAAAATCAGCAACATGGATTTAAGGAGTTTGGAGGAGATCTAGGTCCGAGTGATTATTATCCGTTCTCTAAACTGAAATCTGACCTTCGCTGAAAGATAGTTAATGATGATGTCAGAAGAGATGTTAATATTTGAACTCATGAATATAATGAAAGAAATTGAAAATATATTCGGATGTAATTTAAGCAAAATAATTAGTGTGTATAAAAGTAAGCTGCCTGAACTCAGGAAATGCTTGCACATCCTGGATAAGATCCAGGTCCTGCATATTATGCTTGAAGAAATACACGGGCTCGCACAAAATGAGTGATCATGAATAATGACCTTATAATTGTAACATGGAACGCAAACGGATTGTACCATAAATTAGATGAGTTACGCATTTTTGTAAATGAGCACTGTCCTGATATTTTACTCCTACAGGAACACAAGCTTAGTCCACACACGAATGTCCAGATCGCCAACTACTGTGTCTACAGGCTCGACCGGGAAAGGACCAACAGCCACCCAGGAGGTGGACTTTTAATCCTCGTTAAGCGCTCCATCACACAACACTGCCACAGCTTTTAGGCCTAGAAGCCATAGCTATTACAGTCACTACACTCACCTCACATCCACTCACTGTTATCTCTGCCTATATACCCAGCAACAAAAGATCACAAGCAAATATTGCGCAGGATTTTGAAGCGCTATTCCAACTCAACAGGAAAACAATCATAGGCGGAGACTTCAACGCACACCACCGCGCATGGAACTGCAGTAGATCAAACTACCTAGGCTCTGTACTTCACCGATTTGCCACTGAGGCCGGTGTTACCATTGCAGCTCCAGACACACCAACACGCTACAGTGCCAGATCAGCGAATGTTCTGGATTTCTTCCTTCTAAAAGGTTGTTATCACAGATCCATTCAAACCCTCACCGAGTTATCCTCTGACCATAATCCGGTCATGATACAGGTGAGGAACTGCTGTTTGTAGCACACCACACAAAAAAGGCCTTTATTACTAACTGGGCAGGATATGCCAAAGCCTTAAACAACACCACATTACACATTCCAACAGCCACCACGGGTGATGAGTTAGATGCTTTAGTCCAAGATTTTACTGCAAACTTTAACAACTGCCTTGGATGCAAACAGCATACCAGTTACTCCACCGGCACAAAGCAACTGATCCAGAGCTCAAGAAAACTCATACAAGAAAGAAACGCTGCCAGAAAGATCTGGCAAAGGCATCGATTCCCGGCAGATAAAACCACACTCAATAGACTGAATCATCTGGTCAGGACTCGAACCTACAAACATACACAACGCGACTGGACCAACTATCTCACGTCCCTTTCAGCAGATCCTAGCTCTGTCTGGAAGGTGACTGCTAAACTCAAGAGATGCTACACAAACATTCCGCCCCTTAACGGCCAACAAAATATTGCCTTCACAGATATTGAGAAAGCTGAGTCACTAGCTGATCACTATGCTTCTCAATTCTGCACAAACAACATTTCTCACCCTCAAACAGAACATCTTGTTCACACCACACTCACAGAATTCCTTTCAAAACCACGCACGAACAACATCACTCCTGTCAGACCCTCGGAGGTCTATGGCTACATCGAAAAACTGCTCATCAAGAAAAGCCCTGGCATTGACAAGATCTCAAACAAGATGATCAGAAACATAGGAACTCTCATGCTACTGAAGCTCACTTCTATCATCAATGCCATCCTAAGACTTGGACACTACCCAATGCCATGGAAGATTGCTATTATTGTACCCATCCTTAAGCCTGGAAAGACTCCTACAGAACCAGCCTCCTACAGACCAATCAGTCTTCTGTCCTCGCTCAGCAAGGTGGCAGAGCATATCATCCTGACAAGAATCCAAGCCTACATGGATCTTAAAAATCTAATTATCCCTCAACAACATGGTTTCAGGAAGAAACATTCCTCTGTCCACCAGCTGTACCGGGTGACAGATTACATCTCCAAAGGACTGCAGGAGCGGCAGACCACAGGTGCCATCTTCCTTGATGTAGCTAAGGCCTTCGATCGTGTTTGGCTGGAGGGCCTCATGCACAAAATCATCACTCTGGGTTTCCCAGACTACATCACAGCCATCACCTACTCCTATCTTAAGGATAGACACTTTGTCGTTCGTGTAAACAACACATACTCAACCACACGGGCTATCAGGGCTGGGGTCCCACAAGGGAGCCTCCTTGGGCCCATATACTACAATATTTACACGAACGATATCCCACAAACACCACACACCACCCTGGCTATGTACGCTGATGACACGGCAATACTCTCAAAAAATGCATCTCCTGGTCCAGTTATACAAGCACTTCCAATCTCACATCCACACACTCGAGTCCTGGCTTACTGCCTGGAAATTTAAAATCAACGTAGGACAAGTCGGAGGCGATCTGGTTTACAAAAAAAGTACATATCGACTTGGAGGACATCCTCATGTATAATACCCCTATTCAGTGGACTAGGCAAGCCCGATACCTAGGCATCACTTTAGATAGGCGGCTCACATGGACCCCACACATTACACAACTTATTGCCAAGTTCCGTGCTCGTAAACGAACACTTACCCCCTTAATTAGCCGGAACTCCGTTCTCTCTATTGATAATAAGTTGCTCATTTACAAGACCCTTTTGCGTCCCATACTTTCTTATGCCTGCCCTGTTTGGGGATATACCAGCAACACTAATATCAACAAACTGCAAGTCTTGCAGAATGTCACCCTTAGGCAAATTTCTAGAAGCCGATGGTTCATTAGAAACACGGCAATCCATGAGGAGTTGGAAATTCCAACAATCCCAAATTATTTTGCACTCCTCGCTGAAAAATTTTATGAAAATATTCCTAATGTAAACAACAATACAATTACTGTACCTCAATATGACCATACACTTGCTGCTAATAGCAAGCGCCCGCTTGCGATTCTCAGACATTTAAATTAACCCCTTTTTCTGGCAACCAATTATGTAAACACCTTCCTTACTTCAGCTTTGTTTTTGTTTTTTATGTAATAGATTTGTACTGCTGCCTGACTCTTATTTTGTAAATAATGTACATAATTCCTATTTTATATTTTATTTATGTTTTTCCTACTATGTATTATTTAAGTATCTCTGGATTTATTTTGTATTTAAGTATCTATGTGTTTATTATAATTACCCAAATGTGTTTTACGAGTGGTCACACGGACGCTTGTTCGGACTAGCAATAGGGAATTTCTTCTACATGCCATTGCACACTTACCTTCGTCTAAAGGCTTATCAGTTTCACTGGTTGTTTCTTCTGGACTCTGTCATCGGTTCGTGTATGAACTTTCATTGTGTTCGAATCTTCATGTCAATTGTTCGAAGTCTCATGGAATCGAAAGTCGCACATATTATCCCGGGATAGCGTTGTCACGCGGGCACCCACTTTGCGATAACTCATCGAGTTTGCCTGAGCCGAAGAGATGTTATGGAACGTTTTGTGAGGAGGGAGAAAAACAAAAATATTTCTTCTCCGATAATTTTTTATTTTTTTTATTTGTTAGTTTTTAGTCTATGTTATGTGTATTTTAATCTGTCAGTAGATATTATATGTTTATGTTCATTGAATCTTTAGCTGTTTCCCTGGACTTTCCCGTCTTTTGGAGCGTCTTTGGAGGCAAGCAAACGGTTTCCTGTTCTGCCTGCGCTGCCTGACTTCCGCACTGAGGATTCATCCTATAAGCTAGAGGTAGCTGGACTTCACGACGGCGACTGTTCCGCAGATGACTGAATGAACTTTTAATTTTAATTGAAAACTAAAGATAAATATAATAATGATCTTTATAATAATGTAAAACTTTATTATTACACTGAAGAATAAAAGCAGTGGTTTAAAAAATAAAACTATGTTCTTTTTTTTATTCTAAACCCACACACGCACACTCCTGAAAAAGATTAAAACAAATGACAGAGGATGGCGCGGTCTGCAAAGAAATTGTTGTTTGAGATATGAATATTATTGTTAGATAAACTACAAGCTTACCAGAACTTTTACATAAGAAGTAATAATCTACTTCTCCTAACATATGGAGATCAAACGTATGTTTGCATCATTGAAGTCTTTCTTGACAATTGCTAGGGAACCGAGTAATTTTGTATTAGTATTATTGACCCTGGGCATTACTTTAAGAAATTAAATATATCAAATAATAGTATATTTATTAAACTTTATTGCACAGTTTTCTGGATCAAGATAACGAAATAATAACGAAGTGGATAACGAAAGATGTAGAGGCCCTATGCAGCACTGTCAAATAATCAGAGAAAATGCACTTTTCCATGGGATAACCTACAGACATTTACAGTCTCGACGGGCAGTATCCATTCTTTGAATTCCAGTACTCTATCTATCTCTTCTGATATATAGTTTAAGAGCGTTGTCTATGCATTTTTTCATTCTTCTTGAAAGACAGTTTAACTTTCTCGTAAGTACTGAAATGCCGAACGTCTGCAGGGACTATTACTCTTTTGTATTGCAAATTATATTTTATAATGACGGAAAATTGCCAATGTTCGATAAAGGTTAATAGTAATTGTCCGATAATATTGAAATGCTTAATATCTGTAAGAGATTATAACTGTACTGTATTGCAAATTATATTTTATAAGGATAGATGAAACAGTATAAGCACATGCTTAGGGCATCAAGAAAAAGGGGACTAAAAAACTTAAGAATTATCTAATCTATAATAATAAATCTAAAACGATGTATAAAAGAAATTAAGCAAAGAGCAACAACAAAAAAGAAACAGTTTTTCACAGACGATTCAGTATTTCTCATTCAATTAATTCAGATCTCACTTCGCTACAAGGTAAAAATACATAAAAACTCAAATTGTCTGTATTGAAAATTAGGAAGTAAATCTTAAACACTTATTTCCTCGAATAAATTCCAGAATGGATTAAGCATGATTTAACTCGCAATGATAAAAGGAGGCGTTATATTTGTTACTGAGAAGCTTACTTTCTCTAGATTGGCAACAAATCTACTATTCTGCTGTTTTAAATATAAACAAGCAATGGCCGCCATGGCAAATTATTAGGCTTAACGGTACACAACTTTTAAATTGTTGATAATTCTAAAAGTATTGCATACAGATTTACTAAAGGCATAAAAACCTTAACTGGAAGATAAAAACAACATAGTTCAATCATTTTTAAAGCAAAAAATGCACAATTTACAAACATGTAAGAATAAAGAAACTGAGATCACTCTTTAAGAAACGTTTAAGTGTAAGAAAACATCATGGAATGCATAGCGCAGCAGAGCGAGAGAGAAAGAATAACAAAAAAAAAAAAAAAAAAAACTGTTGTAAATACATGTGTGGGGCACCAAAATCTTTGTCTTTAATGACTAATTTTTAAATATCTTTAAATCCATCTTAAGTCTTAATACGGCCCTGGACTGAACTATAAATGTGTGAGAAGCTTATGTAGCAAAGAAATCATCTCAACCAGCAGTATCAAGTTACCTGAGGTCCTGAATTCAAAAGAAATATCTACAGGATCTCTTAAGTTTGTTAAACTAAAAATCGCAAAGATTTGGTAACTTTAATACCCAAGACACTTTCCTTTGGAAGTTTACAAAGTTGAAATTTGTGCCAGCTGTTTGGAGAATCCATTTACCCCTAACTTACCCCGACCAATCCTTACTTCATCAATTAAGCGATCAATTCAATTAATGAATGCCTCACGGCAAATAACAGAATTGATTTCACGTCCAGACAAAGTTAAATATTTCATCAAGGAACAGAACATAAAAAAACGCACTATGCAATGAAGATTATCAAAAAAATGCTGCTTAACTTCTCTGTCACCAAGTTAATATAGATTTCACACAGGGTTTGAGGATGAAATATTTCTGACTGTCTTTTTAGGAAGTTTCGGGACATCTAGCTGATAGACGCCATTAGTATATTTGGAGCAGAAGGCGGGGAAAATGTGCAATGACCTGGCCAGGCCCCGAATTCCGGACCTTACGATTGTCACCACGAAGCGACGCAGTAACGAGGGGGTGAGACTTTACTAGCTTACATTTGTAAGCATTGTATTTCGAATGATGAACATTTTTCTGCTAAAACTCGAAAATAATCTCACGAAGCCTGGTTGGTGGCTACCAGCCGATAAGGCTGCGGCTTTTGCAGAATTAGGAATTGACAAATTGCTGAAAAGATTGATCCTGAGAAGTCTGGTATTGTATTTCTCTTATCTTCCTGATGAACCTCCTATCTTCAGATAAATTCCTAGTTTCTACTAATCACAATAAAAGATGTGAGCTTCTGGTGCTATACATGGAAAAGCTATCGCTTGTAAGGGACTTTTTAATGTGTTATTGATTTATCTTTTCATTTTAATAGAAAGCCTACATTGATGATCAGGTCTCTACTAGAGGAACAAACCTTTACGGTCAAACATGATAAAGTTAGTTCTACGATTCTAAACTTTAATAATGCAACGTTCTTGCTTACGATATGTGTTGTATTTTATATAGCGGATTTCTTTAAGCCACAACTAGCTTCTTGCTGTCTATGTGAATGTTATTGCTATTACAGGTTGTATCAGAAACTCGCAACCAGGCTTGGCCAATATTGCCAGAAACCTAGAAGTTGTAATTTTAATAAACGTTATTAGTTTAATGAAGACATTCCTTTATTAGGGAGGTTCGAATTCCGCGAACGGGCTGGCTGCATTGCCGTTTTCGGGGCTTTTCTTCATGCTCCTCTTAGTCCTCCACGAAGGCGTCCCTCCTCTTAGGCAGATAGCCCTTGAGGCTTTGCCGTAATCATGTAAACCAAACCTTCAGAATGAACCTCAAATAGATTTTCATGTTCGACATGTCAAAAAGTCAAACTCATTATTTCACCAACTTATGTCTGTAATTGGTTTTAGATACATCTTGGTGCTCATGTGGAAAACCGCTTACAGTTTTTAATTGTTGGGCCAATTTCATGCTATGCCTTTGACGCTTGGTTAAGCTGCTTCTTTCGCTGACATAGCATGGTTCCAAATAAGCGGAAACAATGTTCTTCGGATTAAATTATGCTTTGCATGTACATGAGGAATTCTATGTTACGTAAAGATTAAAAAATTGCCAGAATATTTACTGAAATGCAACCAGATTTCTTTACCAAGGCTATAAGTTGCTCTGGGAATTATGCGTCAGTCATTAATTGCAAGGTACTGGACGATGATCGCTGTACATGACCATTTGTTGTGTATGCAAGTCTATTCGTTCGTACATCTGAGTTTGAATCTGAGTTTCTAGCACTTTTCATATTTCATTCCAAAGCAGATTCATCTAAAGTTTTAAGACCTCACTATAAAAAACTATTTGGCAATAAATTTCCAGAACACTTGCTGAAATGCGATCAAATTTCTTTTACAAGACTGTAAGTTGCTCTATGAAGTATGCCTGTCATTATTTACAGGGTACTGGACAATGATCGATGTGCAAGACCATTTGCCATACACTTGTTAGGTGACTAGAATTTTATAACACAACTTTGTACTTTTGTACTTTTCTCTTTATTGCTGGCACTTTTCATATTTTATTCTAAAGCTGGTTCATCGAAAGTTTTCGGTTCCCAAACAATCTTTATGTTTCTTGAAATTGAAATCTTAATTTCGCGAAGAGATATTTAATGATGATGTAAGAAGGGCAGTTATGGACCATTTTGTTCAAAGACCTTAAAATTACATTCAGAAATATTATATTGCTCATCTAACGATATGAAAGTATATCGAAATACAATGAGATGTTGTAAAATAAACCATTAAATTTCTTTCTATTTATTTAAACTGTCTCAGGCTGGAATTTTTGCATTTATTTTTCTATTATAGAATTAGAATCGTCTACCCAATTTTGGATTCAATATATTTATTTATTAAGTAGTTGTCCCTTTAGCTCAGAGACATTATATGTAATGTTCGTTTTCGTTTAATCTGTAGCTGTTTCCTTGGACTTTGCCGTTTTGGAGTCTGCATCTCCGCAGATAGTCTTCTGCAGAGGATTAAGATTTATCTCATGAGTCTTCACGACATCAGAAGCCGAAAAAAAAACTGAAGAATTAAAAAATATTTATAATGCCTTTTTTTAGGGGGGGAGAAATCTATTTTTACTTCCTTGTACAAAGTAAAGGAAGTATTTTAATCGCAAAAATTTCAAATATCTTATTTACAATCGGCGGTACGAATAAATTTAATTGGAACCAGAAATAAGTTAAAATGAAGTGCAGCAAAAAAATGTGCATAATTTAATAGGTCGTACAAGGAACTCATGTGGTGTCCACACCAGACCTTTTTTATCGCATTGAGTGTATGTAACGTAACAAAAATTGGGCCCCTTAAAGATCTTTATAAGCAGGGTTTATACGTGGATCAAACATTAGAATAAAAATTTACTAAAAGCTATTAAAGGCTGCAAGATGTTAAGAATAAAATAAATAAATAAATGAAGTATGTGTGACAGTCCTTGAACCTAAAGCTGGGTTTACGTGTTAATGATCAATGTAAAAAAACATCCTTCATGTTTTATACGCATCTAATACTTTAACCATCAAAAAGAGATGTTTCATTTTATTCAATGAAACGCCTCCAATTAACCACGGGAGGTACCGGCACCTGTTACTTCAATTATGGATAGCATTTGTGGACCATGTCAACTTCCTGGTATTCCAAGACATAGTTTGTTGCCACTTCCGGTCGCCGGAAAGAAGGGAGAAGAGGCGGATCAAGATCAGTAGTTCAAGGTTACGTTCTCTTGTCTTATTTTCACTGTAACCGCCGTTTATCGCATAGACCGCATCAGTCATTACGTCATTGGAGGACAGCACTGGCCACGTTTT